AGGAAATAGAGAGATCCCCACCTAAAATCAATAAAAACCGTTCAACACCTCGACACAGCAGACCTCTACACAGAGACCTGGCAGGCCAGAAAGGGCTGGCAGGATATATTCAGGGTCCTAAATGAGAAAAACATGCAACCAAGAATACTTTATCCAGCAAGGCTCTCATTCAGAATGAAAGGAGAGATAAAGAGCTTCTAAGACAGGCAGGAATTGAAAAAATGTGACCTCCACACCAGCTCTGCAAGAAATTTTAAGGGGGGCTCTTAAAATTCCCCTTTAAGAAGAAGTTCAGTGGAACAATCCACAAAATCAAGGACTGAATAGATACCATGATGACACTAAACTCATATCTTTCAATAGTAACTCTGAACGTGAACGGGCTTAATGACCCCATCAAAAAGCACAGGGTTTCAGACTGGATAAAAAAGCAGGGCCCATCTATTTGCTGTCTACAAGAGACTCATTTTAGACAGAAGGACACCTCCAACCTGAAAGTAAAAGGTTGGAGAACCATTTACCATTCAAATGGTCCTCAAAAGAAAGCAGGGGTAGCCATCCTTATATCAGATAAACTAAAATTTACCCCAAAGACTGTAGTGAGAGATAAAGAGGGACACTATATCATACTTAAGGATCTATCCAACAAGAGGACTTAACAATCCTCAATATATATGCCTCGAATGTGGGAGCTGCCAAATATATCAATCAATTAATAACCAAAGTTAAGACATACTTAGATAATAATACACTTATACTTGGTGACTTCAATGTAGTGCTTTCTACAATTGACAGGCAGGATACACAATCAATGCCCAGAAATCAGTGGCATTTCCATACACTAACAATGAGACTGAAGAAAGAGAAATTAAGGAGTCAATCCAATTGATGATTGTACCCAAAAGCATAATATACCTAGGAATAAACCTAACCAAAGTGTTAAAGGATCTATACCCTAAAAACTATAGAACACTTCTGAAAGAAATTGAGGAAGACACAAAGAGATGGAAAAATATTCTATGCTCATGGTTTAGAAGAATTAATATTGTGAAAATGTCAATGTTACCCAGGGCAATTTACACGTTTAATGCAATCCCTATCAAAATACCATGGACTTTCTTCAGAGAGTTAGAACAAATTATTTTAAGATTTGTGTGGAATCAGAAAAGACCCCCGAATAGCCAGGGGAATTTTAAAAAAACAAAACCATAGCTGGGGGCATCACCATGCCAGATTTCAGGTTGTACTACAAAGCTGTGGTCATCAAGACAGTGTGGTACTGGCACAAAAACAGACACATAGATCAATGGAACAGAATAGAGAACCCAGAAGTGGACCCTCAACTTTATAATCAACTAATATTTGATAAAGGAGGAAAGACTATCCACTGGAAGTAAGACAGTCTCTTCAATAAATGGTGCTGGGGGATCCCTGGGTGGCACAGTAGTTTGGCGCCTGCCTTTGGCCCAGGGCACGATCCTGGATACCCGGGATCGAATCCCACATCTGGCTCCGGGTACATGGAGCCTGCTTCTCCCTCTGCCTATGTCTCTGCCTCTCTCTCTCTCTGTGACTATCATAAATAAATAAAATTTAAAAAAAATGGTGCTGGGAAAATTGGACATCCACATGCAGAAGATGAAACTAGACCACTCTCTTTCACCATACACGAAGATAAACTCAAAATGGATGAAAGATCTAAATGTGAGACAAGACTCCATCAAAATCCTAGAGGAGAACACAGGCAACACCCTTTTTGAACTCGGCCACAGTAACTTCTTGCAAGATACATCCACGAAGGCAAAAGAAACAAAAGCAAAAATTAACTATTGGGACTTCATCAAGATAAGAAGCTTTTGCACAGCAAAGAATACAGTCAACAAAACTCAAAGACAACCTACAGAATGGGAGAAGATATTTGCAAATGACGTATCAGTTAAAGGGCTAGTTTCCAAGATATATAAAGAACTTATTAAGCTCAACAGCAAAGAAACAAACAATCCAATCATGAAATGGGCAAAAGACATGAACAGAAATCTCACAGAGGAAGACATAGACATGGCCAACATGCACATGAGAAAATGCTCTGCATCACTTGCCATCAGGGAAATCCAAATCAAAACCACAATGAGATACCACCTCACACCAGTGAGAATGGGGAAAATTAACAAGGCAGGAAACCACAAATGTTGGAGAGGATGCGGAGAAAAGGGAACACTCTTACACTGTTGGTGGGAATGTGAACGGGTGCAGCCACTCTGGAAAACTGTGTGGAGGTTCCTCAAAGAATTAAAAATAGACCTGCCCTATGACCCAGCAATTGCACTGTTGGGAATTTACCCCATAGATACAGATGCAATGAAACGCCGGGACACCTGCACCCCGATGTTTATAGTAGCAATGTCCACAGTAGCCAAACTGTGGAAGGAGCCTCGGTGTCCATCGAAAGATGAATGGATAAAGAAGATGTGGTTTATGCATACAATGGAATATTACTCAGCCTTTAGAAATGACAAATACCCATCATTAGATTCACGATGGATGGAACTGGAGGGTATTATGCTGAGTGAAATAAGTCAATTGGAGAAGGACAAACATTATATGTTCTCATTCATTTGGGGAATATAAATAATAGTGAAAGGGAATATAAGGGAAGGGAGAAGAAATTTGTGGGAAATATCAGAAAGGGAGACAGAACACGACGACTCCTAGCTCTGGGAAATGCACTAGGGGTGGTGAAAGGGGAGGAGGGCGGTGGTGGGGGTGAATGGGTGACTGGCACTGAGGGGGGCACTTGACGAGATGAGCACTGGGTGTTATTCTGTATGTTGGCAAATTGAACACCAATAAAAATAAATTTATTATTAAAAAATAATAGAATAAAATGTAACAGTGGAACAATTTGTTTGGTTTTCTAGATAACAAAATTACCTCTGAATTTCTACTGCATCTAAGCTATATCTCATGCACAATAATTTAGCATCTTTTCTGGAATAGAACAATAGGATCTTTGTAGCAGGTATCAACTAAATAATACTTGCACTCTTGGCATACATAGTTGGTGATTTGTTTATCAGTTTTCTGCAAATAACCAATTTTCATGCATGCAGTCAGTTTTTTTAAAAGATTTTATTTATTTATTCTTGAAAGACACAGAGAGAGGCAGACATATAGAGGGAGAACCATCCTCCTCACAGGGAGCCGAATGTTGTACTCAATCCCCGACCCTGGGATCATACCCTGAGCAGAAGGCAGAGGCTCAATCGCTGAGCTACCCAAGCATCCCCAGTCACCCTTTTTAGCATGTATGAGTGCTATCATATTTTGTTTGAATATCTTAATAAAGTAGTTCCAAAATCTCTTACATGTCATAAAATCTGTCTTTGGCTGAAGGATGACCAGACTATTATATTCCCACTTAAAGACAGTTATTCTCTGAATTATGTTTAGCTATGTTTACTTTTTATGCATGGAACTAATAGAACATACCTGAAATTTCTAAATTACTTATGGCCTTCATTATGTTTCTTCCTTTGTCAATAAGAGTTGCATAGCAGTTGTTAAAGATGGATTTTTTGTTCTAGAAGTATTTTTCCAATCAGATACACTTTATTGTTTTCTGTGAGACCCAGTCAAGTAGGCGAGTAAAGCAGAAAAAGTTAAAATAATCAGTTTACTCTGCTGTCATACTTAAAAAGATTTCTGTTAAAAAATATATATCTTAATGAAAACATGATAATACTATACTGTACTTTGAATATGGCCTTTTCTATTTATCTGTATTTTATTTTTTAAGATTTATTTATTTTAGGGAGAGAGAGAGCACAAGTGGGAGGGGCAGAGGGAGGAGAGAGAATCTCAAGCAGATTCTGTGCTGAGTGCAGAACACAATGTGGGGTTCAATCTCATGACCCTGAGATCATGACGTGAGCTGAAACTAAGATTTGGGTGTTTAACATACTGTGCCACACAAGCACCCCAATTTATCTGTTTTATAAATGACTTAGCACAGACATGGTTATGAAATCTCATCTTTGCTTACTTTGCAATCTTTGTAAATCTTCCGTTTGCCTCAGCATGCATGATTTTTTAGCATCTGCATTCAGAGGACAGGTTGAAAAGGAAGTATGAGTGCTCAAATTTGAAGTCCATTTATTATAATAAATGCATTTATAGGACACCTTTGGTCCCACATGCAATATCAAAGGTAGCATGGAATGCAATCTAAGTTATTAGCCTCTAGGTAGTGTTGTTTTGGAGATAGAAGGCAAGGTGTCAACACTTTTGAAAAGACAGTTACCAAATTATATGAAGGCAATAGAATAGGTCTTATTTAGGACACTGTTCATAGTTATTTGTGTTTAGGATTTCAAATGTCTTTGAAGTCTATGAATTTTCTACATTTCGCCCTTAGCTACTCTTTTCCATGTCAGATTGACTAGATATTCAGTCCGAATAATAACTGGAGGGAATATAAGAAGAAATACATAAAATCGTATTGAATTGAGAAGGCAAATTTAATCTAACTTTAAGATATGCCAATAAATTAAGCTACCTTTCACCGAGAAGATGCAAGTCCAAATAAAATTAATTTTTTAAATTAATTATTTTATAATTCAAATAATTCACATGTTCTTTTCCAACAGGGAACAGAAGAGTAAGCCATGTGGTGATAATAGGCAATTTAGAGATTTGTTTTACTGTTTTATTTAAGCATGTATGTCAAGAATTTTTATATAAATCATTCAAGTTTTGCATTCATTGGGTCACTTAGATTAGTGAAATAAAATTGAAAATGTCATTGCAATGTTGATTTCCCTTTAAATTCATCTCATATTGTAAAATGTGTACCTCACATGTAAAGAAAATTTAGTGGGCTGATTCATGTGATGACTTTGTAATGAGTTAATTGTATTAATGAGTTACATAACTTTCTCAAAATATTTATTAACTTAGAAATACTTAATGTTGTTTATAATTGTGCTTGATGCTTTCTTCAGGTGATAATTCAAGATGATGGCCCTGAAAAGTTGGACCCCAAATATTTTGGAGAGTTGCTTGCTGATCTAAGCCGTAAAAATACAGATCTATATTACTGCTTATTAGAATATTTGCAGAGAATTGGAGGAAGGTACTGTAAATATCATTTTTACCTCAAAGTTGTAGCTACCAAACATTTGATGATATTTTGGTATTTTTAAAATATAGTTTATTTTTAGAGCAGTTTTAGGTTCACAACAAAACTCTAGTAATTTTTTTAGGGTTTTAAGTAGTTTTTACACCCAAAAGGGGGCTCAGACTCATAACCCAAGATCAAGAGTCTCATGCTCCATCAAATTGAGCCTGCCAGGTACCCAAAAACTTTAGCACTTTTAGTGGATAAACAGGTTAACTATATGAACAAATGTCTCATTTTAAGAGTTAATATACTTCATGAAAATCATCAAAAGAGATCACACAAGTCCTTTTAGGATTAGTAAAGAATTCTGTGAACCTTCTTTTCTAACATACTTTGATGGCAAATGCAACCTCTTGGATAAGGAGTTCAAAAAATGCATAGCATACTATGACTTGTAAAATATTATAGTGATGATACAAGATACAATTCCACTGTCAATACACTGCTATTCATCTTCTATTGATTTGTGCTCAATGTACAAAGGCCAGAATTTAATATACATTTAGTGTTATAATAAATGTTACATATTATTTTAATACATATTACAAATGACATATTAAACATAAATTATATAAGCATCTGTAAATTAGTGCAAATGCAAATATGTATATTTTATAATTATGTACTAAGTAATATGTATTTAAATATATACACAGAAATAATTTATCAACTATTCATGCATAGATGAGAGCATATTATGTCATGAAATGAATTCCATAAGCTACATCCCAAAAGTTATGGTCATAACAGCTACTAAGTACTTGAAATGGATTAAACATTTTTGAGTACACTTTTACCTATAAGCTATGACTCAGCTTTTTGACAAAGCCTCCCTTAGATATTTAGTTCGGTCAAGTGTTCCTCTTCTGTGTGTTCATCATGGCCTGTGAATATTTCTATCCAAGTATCACATTGTAAAATCAAGAACATATAGAGACTTAGTCTTAAGTACTCTGATTCAGATCCAGAGTTCATATCCTGGGCTTATGTTTTGGCTTTTGTAACATACTTGATGTGTAATGTCAGGCAATTTGTTTGATTTCTCTGTACCTAAGTTTCTTCATCTGTTAAATAGGAATTATAATAACAATACTTATCTCTTAGGTTTGTTATAAGCCAAAATGATTTAAGACATACATTTACAAACAGCATCAACATCATGTGAGAATTTAGAAATAGCACCACAGAATCAGAAACTCAGGGAGTAGGGGCCAGCAACAAACCCTCCAGAGGATTCTGGTATATGCTCAAGTTTGAGAATCACTTACCTAGGCCACAAAGTAAAAAAATCTGGGATTAGTACCCAAGTTCTGAAAACCTTTTCTCCTTAGGCAGATCACTTGACCTTTTAGTATTAGATATATATCTCCAAATTATTTAAGACATTGCAGGCAAATTGAAGAAATCATCTTTTTTTTTAATCATCAAATTTGAAAAGTTCACAGTATTTAGACTGGTTTGACATTGTTCAAATTTTGTCTTGGAACAATTATTGTTTATATGAAGCAAGATGGTATTTGTGTTTTGTATTGCCCCCAAATGGTTCAGAACACATGGATTTGACAAAGTTGCTACTCAAAAAAGGGTTATAGAATGAGAGCTAAATATGTTCCAAATGTATTAGTTTCATACTAATTAGATGTAGACAAAGTAACTGAGCAAAGGAAGTTATGTTCTTTCATGATGATTATCCTAGGAAAGGTGTAATCAGTGGTTTTGGAACAACTTTTTCATTGAAAGGTTTTGATAAATGTACATGAATGATTTAAATGTGTGTTTAAGCAATACAAAGCCTTGAATTTAATTCCTAGAGTACCTAAAATACCACATACACAAAAGAAATAGAAAAGTTGTATCTCCACATTAGTAAACACTCCACAGTGGAAAAGGTTCTTATAAATTTTGGTGATTAAGACTTTCTGGTAGAAGGTCATCAATTTCCTTCTCTTTATTCCTTCCCTCTTTTCTAAATTTCATTCTTTGTTTTGTTTTTGTTTTTCCTTATTATATTCCTTTCTTCCTAGGGGTTGAGATGACATCCCAGTGTTTTAAATAATTTTTTAAAGTTTTTATTTAGTTAACATACAAAGTAATATTAGTTTCGGGTGTACAATATAATGATTCAACACTTCCATACACTTCCATACAACACTGGTGTTCATCATAACAATTAGACTCATTAATCCCTACCACCTATTTAACCCATTGCCCCACAACCTTCCCTCTGGTAACCATCAGTTTGTTCTCTATAATTAAGAGTCTGTTTCTTGGTTTCTTTCTCTCTCTCTCTCTTTTTTCCTCTATGCTCATTTGTTGTTTCTTAAATTCCACGTATGAATGAAATCATATGGTATTTGTCTTTCTCTGACTGACTTATTCTCTTAGCATAATAACCTCTAGCTCCACCAATGTCATTGCAAAGGGCAAGACTTCATTCTCTTTGGGTCTGAGTAATATTCCATTATATATACATGGAATATATATACCTATGCTTCTTTATCCATTCATCACTTGATGGACACTTGGGCTGTTTCCATAGTTTGGCTATTGTAAATAATGCTTCTGCAAACAAAGGGTGCATGTATGCCTTTGAATTAGTATGTTTGTATTCTTTGGGTAAATACCTAGTCATGCAATTGCTGGATCCTAGAGGAGCTCAATTTTTAACTTTTTAAGGAACATCAGTACTGCTTTCCAGAGTGGCTGCACCAGTTTGCATTCCCAACAATACTAAAAGAGTGTTCCCCTTTCTCCACACTCTTATCAACAAGTGTTGTTTCTTGTGTTGTTGATTTTAGCCATTCTGACAGGAGTGAGGTAATATCTCATTGTTGTTTTGATTTGTATTTCCTCAATGACCAGTGATGCTAAGCATCTTTTCATGTGTCTGTTGGCTGTCTCTGTTTTGGGAAAATGTCTAGTCGTGTGTTCCACCCATTTTTATTTCTTTTTTCATTTTATTAAATCCTAGTTAGTTAACAAACAATGCAATATTGGTTTCAGTAGAATTCAGTGATTCATCACTTACATACAACACACAGTACTCATCACTAAAAGCGCCCTCCTTAATACCCCTCACCTATCTAGCCCATCCCAAACCCACCTCCCTCAATCAACCCTCAGTTAGTTACATCTTTAGGAGCCTTTTATGGTTTGTTTCCCTCTCTCTTTTTGCCCCTCTCCCATATTTTCATCTGTATTGTATCCTAAATTCCACAGATGAGTGAAATCATATGGTATTTTTCTTTATCTGACTTATTTCCCTTAGTATAATATATTCCAGCTTTAATCCATTTTGGATTTCTTTTTGTGTTTGTTGTAAGAAAGTAGTCCAATTTCATTCTTTTGTATGTTGCTGTCCAGTTTGCCCAACACAATTTTTTGAAGAGACTGTCATTTTTTATCATTAGATATTCTTTCCTGCCTTGTCAAATATTAGTTAACCATATAGTTATGGGTTCATATCTGGATTCTCTATTCAGTTATATTGATCTATTTGTATATTTTTGTGCCAGTAACATACTGTTTTCATCACCACAGCTTTGTAACATAACCTGAAGTCCAGAACAGTGATGTCTCCAGCTTTGCTTTTCTTTTTGAAGATGGCTTTGGCTATTAAGGATCTTCTCTGTTTCCATACAAATTTTGGTATTGTTTGTTCCAGCTCTGTAAAAAATGTTGATGGAGTTTTGATAGGTATTGCATTGAATATGTAAATTGCTTAGACAGCTTAATAATATTCATTCTTCCAATGCATGAGAATAGAATTTCTTTCCATTTCTTTATGCCGTCTTCAATTTCTTTCATCAGTGTTTTACAGTTTTCAGAATCTAGGTCTTTAACATCCATCCTTGGTTAGATACTTACTGTTTTCAGTGCAATTATACGTGGGATTGATTCCTTGATTTGTCCTTTTTTTCAATTTTTACTATTTATTTATTTATTTATTTATTTATTTATTTATTTTGTATATTTTTTATTGGAGTTCGATTTGCTTGATTTGTCTTTTGGTTGCTTTGTTATTGGTGTATAGAAATGCAACAGATTTCTGAATGAGACTTTGTGACCTGCAAGTTTACTGAATTCCTGTATCAGTTCTAGGAGATTTTGGTGTGATCTTTTGGGTTTTCTACATATTGTATTATGTCATCTGCAAATAGTAAGTTTGACTTCTTCCATGCTGATTTGGAAGGTTTTATTTCTTTTTCTCGTGTGATTGTGGAGGCTAGGATGTCCAGTACTATGTTAAATAAGAGCAATGAGAGTGGACATCGCTTTCTTGTTCCTGACCTTAGGGAAAATGCTGTTTTTCCCCATTGAGGATTTTAGCTGTGTGGATTTTTCATATATGACCATTATTACATTGGAGGTTATGTTCCCTCTAAACTTTGTTGAAGGTTTTTATCATGAATGCATGTTTTACTTTGTCAGATGCTTTCTTTGCATATATTGGAATAAGCATATGATTCTTATCCTTTCTTTTATTAACATAGCCTATCATGTTGATTGATTTGTGAATATTGAACTACCCTTGCAATCCAGGAATAAATCACACTTGATTATGGTGAATGAGTTTTTAAATGTATTGTTGGATTTGGTTTCCTAGTATTTTATTGAGAATTCTTGTATCCATGCTTATCAGTGATACTGGCCTGTGTTTCTCTTTTTTGTGGAGTCTTTGTCTGGTTTTGGTATCAGGGTACTGCTGGCCTCACAGAGTGAATTTACACGTTTTATTTTCTTTTATATTTCATGTAATATTTTGAGAGGAATAAGTAATAGTTCTTCTTTAAATGGTTGGTAGAATTTTCCTGTGAAGCCATCTGGCCCTGTACTTTTGTTTTTTGGGAGTTTTTTGTTTTTTGATTAAATTTCTTTGCTGGTTATTGGTATACTCAAGTTTTCTATTTATATTTCTATTGCTTCCTGTTTCAGTTTTGGGAATTTATCTT